AGGGAGAACATGCAAACTCCAGGTAGGTAGTGCTTTAGTGCAGTTTGAGTGCACATTCTATGCAAATTTGTTACCAGGCTCCCCTGTCCCATAATACCCAGTGTGTGTGAATCAACTGAAACCATGGTGTAAAATAACTTAAAAACTATAGGCATTGAAAGCCTGTCTTTATGGACGTCTTCTCTGCTGTGCTCAGATTGCTACTCAGAGTAGAGAAGTCTCTAAATAAGCTTAAGCTATCCATACACTAATAGAATCTCAATCGAAAATTGTCATCTTAAGAATGTTTGTTTGTCTTTCTAATCATTTGTGTTTTGACCACAGTGACAAGAAATTTTGAAAGAGTAGTTGGATTTTTTTTCTTGAATTAGCAATCCTTATAAAGTGATTGTGGGTTTCCTTCGGAAAAGTCCATTCACTACAAAATTGAATGTGAAAAACAAATGTTGAAGCACTTTCAAACAACATTTGTCACATCATTGAATGTACTGTGAGAATTTTCATATGAATGTTTGTCTGAAAACCTTTTAGTGTATTAGATTTAGACTTAACCCTTCCTTAAAAATAAAATAGATACCATCAGAAGGGGTAACAGCACAAGCAGAAGACTGGTGTTTTACAGAAGCAATTTTTGATGAAGCCAAATAACCTTCCAGGATATCTTTGGCTTAAAAGAGAAAACTGGAGCATCTAGCTAAAATTCATGAAGATACAAAGATAACTTACACAATCCATCCAGACGATGTCCTTGGTGGATGCCTATATAGCTGAAAACATGGTAACCCCAGCATAGGTACTATGGTCAAAATAAAAAATTGTGACCACGCTATATGAATCTTCCAACAGTTTGGCCTAGTGTAGAACCCTCTCAATAGCTCATTGTGAGTAATTATAATCCAATATATACTTAGAATGCTCAAATTCTTAAATAATGTAGGTATTATGTTGCCAATTACAGTATGCCATGCACTAAGCCATTTAAACTGGGGAGAAAAAGCATTAACTACAGATCTCAGAATGTCAGTTGTCAGATCAAAGTTAAATCTTAATATGAGATCATATCAGCAATTTTAATCTTGTTTTTTACAGCCACATTTTATTTTTTTCTAGCAGTTTCTAAATTACATGTGAAGCGTTTTCATGAAAAAGACATGTTTGTGAAGAATACACTGGATTTGTGGCTCTTTCATAACATCTCAAGTTTACCGCATACTGATTAACTACTTTCTACTTTTTATGTATTCTTTGTGCCTAATTTGCATGTGGCTTGAACAGCAGAGCAAAATACTGTGCTCTTCATTTGCACTCTGGGCATGCTGAGAAATATCATGACTCATTTTCCCTTTGTAGGTTTATTTTCTTTTTCTCATTTGACTTTGTTCAGTTTGAATATGGCTCTAAAATGTATAAATACATTGAGTAAAAAAGTATATCTAATTGGGGGGTAAGGTTTATATTGGTGTCTTGTCTCCGCTGGGGAGAATCACCCTATTTGTCTTGCCAAAAGGATGGAAAATCCAACCCTTCACAGTTGTCTGTGAAACAGGAGGTAAGGGGAAATCTTTCTGTGGGGACCCCTGTTCATGTGACAACTGTTTAGCTCTCATGCACATAGACAGTGTTAGGCTAAAAATATGCCCAGTGTGACATTCAAGGTCTTTTCCCATGCCTTGGGAGCCGCAGGTGCCATGTAAAAAAACAGGTGTAATGTAGTATGCTGCTGTGTTCTTGTAAACACTGATGCTTCTGTGCATCGGCATTTATCGGTGCATGCTCATACAATGTATTTCCTGAAAATGGAGGTTTTGTGTTTGGGAAATACGTCATATGCACATGTGTGGGTACCAGTGTACAGAAGTATCAGAATCATCAGCCTACTGATGCACAGACGTTTCAGGCCTGCCGTACAAGTGAATGACTAGTCGTGGCATCTGCAGCTCCCTGGCCATGGGAAAACACACTGGATTTTAAGCCGCCTAATGCCTATGAGGAAGTATCCTGTTCGCTGCCTTTTATGTCTGTGGGACAAGTCGACAAATTAATTCTTCATTTGGACACAGCACAGATAAAAACTGGCATGTGGTAACCATTCCTAGTCCAAAACTTGGGAAAATAGTTTGGGATTCAATTAAACATTGGATGTCACTAAAGCTGGCCATAGACAGTTAGTTTTCCCACTGGGATATTGTATTTTAAAATGGGGGACCCGCTGCTATCAAAATACACTGATTAGTGGCTGCAGCCACTGATTGACAAAGGTTGTTCAGTACAGTATTTCTCTTCAAAAGAAGTCGAACAAACGATTGCCTTCTGTTGAGAAGAGATGGCCACACACTGATTGAAATTGAGGAGTTCGGTTTTAACAAGATACAAATAACAAAATACACACTTTAACCACTAGCCTACAGGGCAATTTCCAGCTTTCAGCGCTGTCACACTTTGAATAACAATTGCATGGTCATGCAACACTGTACCCATATGAAATTTCTGTCATTTTTTTGAGACAGAGCTTTCTTTTGGTAGTATTTAATCACCTCAGGGATTTTTATTTTTTCTTAAACAAACCAAAAACCACTGAAAATGTAATAAAAATGTTCTTAGTTTTTGTTATACAATTTTGTAAATAAGTGATTTTTCTCCTTCACTGATGTGCGCTAATGAGGCTGCAGTGATGGGCACTGATAGGCTGCAGTGATGGGCACTGATAGGTGGCACTGATGAGGAGGCACTGGTAGGTTGCACTGATGGGCATTGACAGGCATCACTGATGGGGACTGAAAGGTAGCACTGATACATGACACTGATATATGGCACTGATAGGCAGCACTGACTGGCACTGATAGGCGGCACTGACTGGCACTGATAGGTGCACTGATGCGCACTGATTGGCATTGATAGGTGGCACTGACTGGCACTCATGGGTGATGTTGAAAGGCAGCTCAGATGGGCACTGATATGTGGCATTGATGTGCACTGATATGTGGCATTGATGTGGCACTGATGGGCACTGGCACGTGGCACTGATGGGCACTGACAGGTGGCACTTCTGGGGCCACACTGATCATCAGGGCACACTGATCATCAGTGCCCTGATGATCAGTGTACATGTCCCCTCCGCGGAAAGCCTATTACTGCCTCTCCTCTCCTCTCAAGCTGTCAGCGTGACAGCTCGAGAGGAGAGAAATGCCGGTAACCGGCATTTCTGTGTTTACATGTGGTCAGCTATGATTGGACACAGCTGATCACATGACCGAGCCGACATCTTCGGCTATTTCCGTGATCCGCTGTGTCCGAGGGACACAGCGCACCGGCGATCGCTGTGTTGCGCGCTCCCTGTGCCGCGCAAACGCAGTGAGAATGGAAGGACGTCATATGACGTCCTATCAGAACGAGAGAACCACCTTGCGCCCATCATTGTACTATAGGGCGGGTGGAAGGTGGTTAAAGACACCCAGTATATGGGAGCTATTTAACTTTCCAAAGTACTTGTATTTTTGTGCATTCTGTTCTGAGATTTACACAACCTCACTGGACTGTACAGCCAGGCTGGTGGTTTGGCGTCTCTCTATTGCAGTACAGCCAGGTCACCTCTTTGCCTTTAGATTGTGATTGGACAGTGAAGGAGCAGCAGCAGCTCGCCCTTCTGTTCACTTTGCTCCCCTCTCCTGTTAGCATGTTTACCTGCCAGCACCCCTGATTGGCTTCTTGCATCTCCCCCTCCTCTCCCATTCTGATTGCCTTTGTACATGGGATAAGTGGCTGATAACTTATTAAAAGACCTGTGACATTCCCCAAGAGGTGGAGGGTGAGGATTTCAGCTCCAATTGCCAAGGCGGTCGGAGTGGAAGTAGGAGTAGGTACCTTTCAAAACTTGGTATCCGTTCCTCCCAAAAAAAATAAATTCCAAATATGGTAGAGGAGGTGAGAGGAAGAAGAAAAGCAGAACTTCAGCCATTGGGTGAAGTTCTGCTTTAAGCTTTAAAGCATGACAGTGGAGGGTGTAAATCTTTCTGTTCAACATTTGCTGCTCTTTGGCCCCCTTACCATGGACAGCTAGAAGGGGGGGCAGTAAACACAGGTAAGTGGGTAATGATTTTTACCACCTCTCGAATGCCCAGCTAAAGTCCACACTACAGTCAGAGGTGCTGTCAGCATGCTTCACATAACAGAAATAAAACTTGTAGTGCGGCATGTGGAGTTGATATGCAACACCACCTGTCAAAATCGGCCATTCGATGGAGCCGTGCTGCAGTGGTGAGCCAAAGCTTGGCTTCCAGTTGCAGTGCATTAGTCCCATTGTAAATTGCTGTTTGAGGAAAAAAAAAGGCATTCAGGTATCCCAGGATCACCTCCTGAATGTCTGACAGTGGCTATTTATCCACTTTTTGCAAAATGATACACTGCTATGTCCATACTAGCCCATTCTCAAAAAAGCTATCAGCGGTGTATCACTTTTCAGAGAATGGGCTCATGTGAACCATTTGTACAGCTGTGATTGAAGGCTGTCTGATCTACAGCTCTGCTTTATAAAATATTGCACATCCCATGGAATGGTGAGAATACTTAATTATACACGTGCTCTGCTATGTGAGAAGAGTAAACACAGACAATCAACTGTTTCTACTGAATAAAATAGCCTGAAGCTAACTTATACAGTAAATAGGAGGTGTATGGATGGTAGGGAAGGGAAATTAAAATAGAAGACAACATTGCAAATAGGTACATTAACCACTTCAAGTCCGGACACTTTTACCCCCTTTTTATTTTTTTATATTGTTTTTTTTTTTTTTAACATACTGTCACCCTGGCGGTACAGTGTCACCATAGTGACACTGTACTACTTGTGGGGGGTGATGAAGATTTTTTTTTTTTTACACTGATTGCTTTTACACCCATAAAGGCTGTAAAAGCAATCATTTCTCCTTCTCTCTGGCTGCATTCTTGCTGTGAGAGCTGTGATTGGTCACAGCTTGTCACATGGTACAAGGCTGTTGTGAATAGCCTTGTACCATGTGACCTCTGTGATTATTCACAGATTTCACACGTAGTAAGTAATGATGTCACAAGTGACATCTTGCGCACTACTATTCATGTGATCACTGATTGGCCAATCAGTGATCACATGATCGGGACCTCATACAGAGGTCCCGTACAGCATACAGCGGGCACCGGAATGTGGTGCCGCACTCTCCCAGGGAGCGCGCACAGCCAGAAAAAGAGGGCGCCGTTTATGAACGACAACCCACTCCTGCACTGCTCCCATCCGGCCGTTTATGTACAGTACATGGGCCAGACGGGAAGTGGCTAATAAAAGAAACCTAAAACCCACTGACAACTTAGGCAACTTGTCCAGTCATGTGTCAGAGTCACGGTCCTTCTTCATTTCCCAACCACAAGAGGTGTGTTCATGACAGCCTGGGCTTTGCAGAATACTTTAGCATGCGTAGGCTGGGTGTACTCTCTGTGTGAACATTTATATTCCACAGCAATAAACTGACTAAACATATCTTGATGAATCTGTTTAAATGTATTATTTATTAAGCTCCTATATAGTGCATAATTGAATTTGATTGGAAGGAGAACCCTCTGATCCTGTTAGAAAGTTCCTTGAAGGTGCACATTTTACATGTTCACAAAGATATACAAAGATATGATTGTGTAAAATGTGGATTGCTAAATATTGCTGTCTTAATTTTTTCATGTTTAAGATGAATATCAAGTCACATTTTAAAAGACATTGATAAAGAAATCTGAAATTTCTTAAAAGTTCACGTTTTTTCCTACAACTTTATGGATTAACCAAAATGTGTGCTGTGGGTGGCACCACCCAGCTGGGCAAAATTCTATTTATATTGACTAAGCTGGTATGAAAATTATCAGCTGAATAGTCATTGAACCCTATGAGATGCAGTCGCTGCAATGCCACTGTGTGCAGGCAGATGCCAGGGCTGTTGAATACAATGGCTGGCAGTAGAAATTCCTCCATCCATACTGGTTAACTTAATTAGGGGAATCAACTGATTTTCTGTCGTTCAAACTGTGTTTGGCTAGCTTAACTCCTTGTCTACAAAGTTACATTTATAAACGTACTGGTATTCAGGGGGTTAAAGCAAGCTCTTGAACGCCTGACAGCAGCTGGATCGTTTTTCAGGAAATGGGCTAGTGTGAACCTAGACTAATTCTTTAGATTAATTAGATTATTTCATTTGTACGGAAGTGGCTGAGGATTGTTTGTTCTACAGCTCAGCTTTATAAAAACTGCATATTCCATGGAACGGCAAGAATACTTAAAGCGAAACTTTGCCCATAACAGCTTGATAAAAAATAATTTTCTCTAGCAAGGACCATACATTCCACATTAATAAATATGCTACCAAAATTAGTGTATGTTGTAAATTGCCTCCAGCATTGCTCCCGTTTCTTCTTGCTAGAGGCCGCCATTTTGCTGAAGCCCATATCTCCTAGCAGTAACTCATAAAGCGAAACTAAACCCATCGATTTAACCGTTTCAGAAAACAGTTACCGTATTTTTCGCTCCATAAGACGCACTTTTTTCCCCCCAAAAAAGGGGGGGAAATGTCAGTGCGTCTTATGGAGCGAATATGGAGCGGCCGGTCCGGTATTTCCACCGCCGCCGTGTCAGAATACCGGGCCGGCCGCTCAGCTCTGCAGCGGGACCTTATAGAGATGAGTGCTGACCTTTGGGGAGGGAGGGGGAGCGGGTACCTGAATTTGACAGGTACCCGCTCCCACTTCCGTGGAGTTGTTCTTTCATCTTACCTGGTCCTCTATCCAGCGGCGCGGTCTTCCCGGCTTCTGTAGTGTGGGCATGAAAGCCGGGTGCCAAGTGCGCATGCGCAAGAAGCGGTGCTTTTTGTGAATGGTAAGGCGGCACCTGGGACACATGACAGATCCCAGAAGCCGCCGGACCAATCACAAAGCGCAAGTGTTTCTCGCTCATGCGCACTGGGCACCCGGCTGCCCTGCCGAGCGCCATTACAGAAGCCGGGAAGACAGCGCGCGGCTGGATAGAGGAACAGGTAAGATGAAAGAACAACTCCACGGAAGTGGGAGCGGGTATCTGTCAAATTCAGGTACCCGCTCCCCCCCCCCCTCCCCCCAAAGGTCAGCAGTCATCCCCTGTACTATCCACAGTCTCTGGTCATCCCTGTGCTGTCCGCAGTCTCTGGTCATCCCTGTACTGTCCGCAGTCTCTGGTCATCCCTGTGCTGTCCGCAGTCTCTGGTCATCCCTGTGCTGTCCGCAGTCTCTGGTCATCTCTGTGCTGTGCGCAGTCTCTGGTCATCTCCTGTAATATGTCCGCAGTCTCTGGTCATCTCCTGTACTGTCCGCAGTCTCTGGTCATCCCTGTACTGTCCGCAGTCTCTGGTCATCCCTGTACTGTCCGCAGTCTCTGGTCATCTCCTGTACTATGTCCGCAGTCTCTGGTCATCTCCTGTGCTGTGTCCGCAGTCTCTGGTCATCTCCTGTGCTGTGTCCGCAGTCTCTGGTCATCCCTGTACTGTGTCCGCAGTCTCTGGTCATCTCCTCTACTATGTCCGCAGTCTCTGGTCATCTCCTGTACTATGTCTGCAGTCTCTGGTCATCTCCTGTACTGTGTCCGCAGTCTCTGGTCATCTCCTGTACTGTGTCCGCAGTCTCTGGTCATCTCCTGTACTATGTCTGCAGTCCATTAGTTCAGAATTTTTTTTTTTCCTGTTCTCTGCCTCTAAAACCTAGGTGCGTCTTATGGTCAGGTGAGTCTTATGGAGCGAAAAATACGGTACATTCCTGGAATACTGGGATTACTGACTGTCACGGGTGCAGCACCATGGCTTTTGCAGATCAAACAGAAGCAGCTTCCTGGGCTGTTAAGGATAAGAGGGTTTTATTCAGCTTTAAGTGATAAGTTCACTTTTTCTAACATGTTACATGTTACACCCGTATTCAGGGTGTAACATGGTGTAATAAATGCATTTGTCTGTTTCTGTTATAAAATGTTGCAAATAAATAACATTTCTTCATAAATTTATTCCAAAATGTATTCTGCTACATTTCTTTGGTGAAAATACCCCAAATTAGCGTATATTATTTAGTCTGAAGGAAAGTTATAGAGTCCACAAACCATTGCATATATATCTGACGATCTATCAGTCCTGCTGTGTTGACGGCCCATTTAATTTCTTAAGGCCCCAAAATGGCAGGGTAGTACAAATACTCCCCAAATTACCCATTTTTGGAAAATAGACGCTCCAAAGTATTTAGTAAGAGGCATGATGATTTTTTTGGAGGTTGTAATTTTTTAGTTACAATTTTTTGGAAAATGTAAAAATTAAAAAAACATTAAAAAAAATGTTAAATTTTTTTTTTACAGTACAGTGTTATATAACTGGTGTGATCAGGGACACTGGTGATAGTATGTAAAAAAAAAAATAATAATAATTTTATTTTAAATTTTTTTGTTAATTTTTTAAATTATTTTTTTATTTTTTTTATTTTTTTTTTTCAACACACTGTGACCAAAGCAATACAATGTTATCATAGTAACATGGAACTACTCTGGGCAAGTGATCAGGATTTTTTTTTACACACATTATGATTGCTAATACCAGTGTATTTCATTGATATTTGCAATCATTGTTACTGAATGAAACCGATTCATTCAGTCTTTTGTTGTGATTAGCTGTGATTGGGCAAAGCTCATCACATGATACAAATGTGCTGTGATTGGCCCTGTGTGTACCATGTGACTGCTTTGACCAATCAGAGCTAACAACACAATTTTATACAATAGATGGCATGACAGGAAGCCATCCATTGTATACAATTGACATGCGATCTGCTCTGAGTGGTCACAGCGGTCACGTGACACTGGCAACGGGCCGGTGTAGTGATATGTCATCGACTGTCCTGTGGACACAGCCGGTGACAGATCGCGCCGCTGCGTGGCTCCGTGGCCACGTGAGTTGCTCCTTCTGATAGGATGACATATGACGCCCAGTCACAAGGAGTTGTGTCCCACCCGGCCATTAATCTGCTATAGGCCGGAGTTCCACTGAGCATGTGCAGAGCAGAGTGTGACAGTGTATTACTGAATTTTAAACAGTATAGGCACTTATTTTTAATGTTTTACATACTGAAACTATACTTGCAAAAGGGGCCAGCCTGACGTGATCTATCAGGACTTGATATTCTAACTAAAGTTGCACTTTCACTATACACGTGCTCTGCTATAGGAGAAGTGTAAACACAGAAATTCAACTGTGCCTATTGAAGCTAGCTTTTACAGTAAATTGTAAGCTTGTGGGTGTTAGGGAAGGGAATACCTGGATCTTTATAAACGTACTTTAGTAGAAAAGGAGTTAAGCTAGACAAACACAGTTTGAACAACAGAAAATCAGTTGATTCTGCCATTTACGCAAAGCAAGCCCACGCTGCAGCAGCTTACTGTTGGTTTTTAGAGCTGACGAAAGGCTTTCAGGTAAATGTAATCCAGCTGGCTTTATAGCCTTTCTATCACTTTTATTTATAAGTTGCATCCAACCCCCCACCTTCACCTGCCAGCAGGGCCCACAGTGGTTTCTGGGCTCCCTCATACCTCTGGGGAGTCTCCAAAATAAAGCTCTTGCAACCTCCCCTTGAAGGGTCTGACGGTTACAGACTAAATATGTAAAAGCGCTGTGTAAATTGATGACGCTATATAAGAACCTGTAATAAATAAATACATAAATATAAATAATTTGTTATTCATAAAATGTGATATATGGCATTGTATAATAGCAAAGTTTCATCCGTGCTGGAAAATATTTAAGCAAACTTGAATAACACTCATTTTGCTTGTTGAAAAACTTTGCAAAAAGCCCTGTTATATTGCATATTTATTAAGAACATCCTATGTCACAACAAAGCTTGGTCATTCATTAGTTTACAGCTTTTTCTTTATTTTGACTTAACTAAGAGCATTTTGTTTTTCTTGCAGCTTGGATTGACCATAGCAGTCCGCTACAGCCACAGGTAAAGAACCCTGTTTCATTGCTTATTTGTATAAAATGTGGCTTATGCTGGCCATAGATGGATTTTACATATGATTATTAGTGGCTGGTATAGCCACTAGCAATAATCACTGTCTTCTCCCAGTGGGGATGGCTTCCCTCGCCCCACCCGTCGGGAGAATACAATGGCTCGACGGGAGGGATTTCCCTGTCAACACTGACTGCGGTTGCGAGAAAGAAATGTGCTCCATGTATAGCCTGCCTTAAACTAAGTGTTATCTAATCTTCTCACTTGTGCACTTTACAGACCTTGCCTGGTCTGCCTGATGGGATGGCAGCTTCATGTTGCATGATTCTGTGTTTCATCTATTTGGGTTTTGTTGAGAATAGTTGGCTGCATAATCAAATGGTTGAACATGTGCTGTTCCTAGATTATGACATGCAACTGTAAACAGTCATATTTTTCATATAACCTAACAAGCCTTGTTGTACATAACCCTGACAGAAAGTTAATTAGCTTGGCTGAGTAAACTTGAAAATACTTCTCAACATGTTTATTATTTTAATTTTCAAAAAATGCATTTACAACAGCTATAAGGGGAGCCTTTTTTTTTTTACCAACTACCTTCAGAGAATCTGCCTTCTGTTTCCTTTTGTGACTTTAAAACATATTTCCACTTTTGTAGTCAAATTTGAGAAAACCCAGCTGTATTTGTTTTGTGCTCCTATTCATACAGCATACCTAAAAAGGAACTAAATATATTCCTTACCTTTTAGATGTTTCTCAGGAAGAGGTGTCATGACTGTTTGCAAGGTTTGAACAATGTTAGAGCAATTCTGTCCTTATTATTTTATTTATTTATTACAGGTAATTACATAACAGCATAAATTTACGCAGATTTTTACATGTATATTGTACATTCACACCAGTCCCTGCCCTCAAGAAGCTTACTCACTTTCATACATACACATACTAGGGCCAATTTAGACAAGAGCCAGTTAACCTACCAGCATGTTTTTGGGGTGTGGGAGGAAACCCACACAGGCAGTAGGAGAACATGCAAACTGCAGGCAGGTAGCGCTTCAAACCAATGACCCTAGTGTTGCAAGGCAGAAGTGCTAACCACTTAGCCACCATGCTGCCCTTTATTAACGTGCAATACAAGAAGCCCAGGCTCTAAACGTTTAACTCTTTGTTAGGATGGACAGTATTCTAATCTAGTTACAATTGATAATGAAAATCAGTACAGACGGAGTTAATTATGGAATAAACAGCAGTCCAGCTCCTTCATAAACAAAGACAAACTTGTAGGCTTTTTCCTTGCTGGAGGGTCCAGAATAGAGTATCTAACAAAGGTAAGATACACTTTAAATTTTTTTTTAAGTTGTGCTATGTGAATGGGGATATGTAACAAATATAATGTAGCTGTTATCTCAATTTGGCTGAAAAAGTGGAAATACTTTAAGAGAGTATGATTGGTGTAGTGGAAATAAGGAGTTATTTGACTATTAATTATACACTAACACAGGACATAGTAGCAGTGGCTGAAGGGGGATGGCATTTAAAACCTATACCCAGTACATCTTTGCAGTGTTGAGATGTTCCTTAGAAGGAACGGGCTTGACGGTGCTGACCAGTCAGAAGCCGTCTAGCCTGTACTGTCATTCCTGCAAGGAGAGGAGAGAGAGAAAGCTGCAGGGATTTCAAATCCCTGGACCTGTGAAGCGGCTTTTACTTGTGTGACAGCATGGGGACGGTGCAGGGAGGTTTCCTGCATTGCTCCTGTATGAACTCAGGCTATGACAAGCCTGGGTTCACACAGGAGCAGTGGAGAAACTGCATATCATTTGGACAGGAATCACATTCCTGTTCAAATCACATGCTATTCTTTGCGGTGCAGTTTGTGTCTATACATTTTGTATTGATGCAAATCGCACCGCAAAGCATTGGCACTTACTATCAGTGAGTACTTGACCAAAACTATTGGTATTCGTACTCGCCGATCAAAAAAGGGTATCTGTGCATCCCTACTTTTTACCCCTCTTGTTACTGAGATGTATCTCAAGTAGTGGATCGCATTTAAAGCCAAGCGTAAAAAAATCAATGCAGTATGCCAGATGTCACCAAATGCACCGAAGTTTGGAGGAATTGTTTTCATAAATTAGCCGCTTGCATGAGTATTTAAAGTTCTATGCTAAAATGCACTGACATCAAAGCTTATATTTCAAGCAGCAATGAAATGTTCCAACACTAAACGAAGACGAGAACAACACATTTTTTTTTTGTTAATAAAGTAACATGTTATCAGATCGCTGACAATTTACCTATGGTACATGTAAAAAGAATATTTTGTTTCAACACACCTACACATCAGGAAGTCTATCCCCGGTACGTGGGTGGTGGGGGTGTACAGAGAGATTTCTTATCATGCATGGTGTTTCTGGGGATACCAAGTGAATACTGAGGTGGTTTCACTCAAAAAGACTGATGAGCAAGAAATGGAACAAAAATACATTATCTAAGAAGAATCAGTCTTACAGAAATTTACAAGAAATGAAAACTTTGTAGGATGCATGCATGCGTAGTGATTTCCATTACAGGTTCCTATATCAAACTCTATACAGGTTTCTGATCCTTTATTGCGGTGCCAACAATTATGACATGATATTTAGTGTTACTCGAAACATGGAACATTTCATAGTACTTCACACATTTATTTTTTTTTATAAAGATGTAGTTGTTTACTATGATAGAGAGCAGTATGCAAAGTACAGCAACCTGCTTCTGCACCATTCACTCTTGCTCCCCTCTCTTGTCAGATTTAACATAGGACTGTAACATTCATGGTGTCAGCTCACCTGAGAGCAGGGCTGGAATTGCGTCCTTTCTTGACATGGCCAGAAGTCAGTATGAGCTCCCAGTGTGAAGACATAAGCTAGGTTGACACTGATGCAGTGCACTTTTGATCTGATCTTCAATGCGATTTTGTAGTGTAGCTGTAGTGCAACTTGGTACATTATTGATACATGTTTAATGCTTGTGTTACCATTGTGACTCATCCATGCTGTCAGCCAGCAGGGATAACCCATTGGTTGTTAAGGCAAATCTTCACCCTCTGCAAAAACTGTCCCCCTATCCACCCCTCCTCCCCTCCACTACATGAATAGGGCTCTATTTATTTTCTTTATTTACTTTCTTTTTAACGAAATGTTGGGACTTGCCCCCCCCCCCCCCCCTCCATTGCTCACTATTCACCCAGGCGAATGACATGCACTTTGCTCCCTGTGCCTCCTGGGATATGCATGTCACATATCCCAGGAGGCATAGCACCTTATTCAGAAAGAAGGAGGGGGTGTGCCTATCACTGCATCATCGGGAGGCGGGCCTCTCTTTGACGTCACAATCAAAATGGAAGTGTAGGGCTGAGAGGTGGAAGAAGACAGGAACATTGCAACAGGGACACCACTGGAGCCTCTGGGTAGGTGAGTATCTGAAACGGACAACCGACCACCTAGTAAGCATGGATAAAAAAAATCAAATGGTGGGGGTTGAAGATCCACTTTAAATAGCCAGTACTCGCCGGCATCCTAACAACCAGTGTTTCATCCCTGCTGTCAGTAGAAGGGATGAGTCATCAGTTTTTAAGGAGCAAGCACCCGAAATGTAAACCAAAGAGCCCTTCAGGTCTTGTATGGATTTTGAATCTTGACTCAAAAAAAAAACAAAAAAAATGTGTGGGGTCACAGAACAGGGTCGAAGACAGCAAGTATAAGTCACTGGTTGTTAGGAAGCCAGCACAAAGCTCAAGCAAAAACGCATTAAAGAAAACATGTAGATGCATTTCTGTAGAACTCTCTGGACCACAAAATTGCACTGCATCAAAACAAAGTAGTTCAGGACCCTTCCCCAAAGTCGTATTGCAGCTGTGCAGGCACCATAGGAACAGGCACTATAGGAAGCAATGTTATTTCCCTTGTCGTGATCCAAGTCGCATCTGAAATCACATCAGTGTGAACCAGACTCCTAAAGCAGTATTAAATTAAAAAATAAAAGTTTATTAAATTGCAGCTCACCAATTCTTAGATGTGGTAGCTGCATTAAAAGAGAAGAACAGGATTAAAAAAAACAAACATTCATACTCAACTGTGTGGCTGCATCATCAATCTGATGCTGCAGCTGTCCCTCAACAACTTTAAACCTGATAACTGAGCAATCACATGACCGCTGATCGCTCAGTTCTCAATCTGCACTGAGCAAATAATGGTGACTCAATCACCGCTCCCTGCTCTGCCCTTCCAAGGGTTCTATGGAGTGCCAGACTGTGGAGGGGATCGGAGCAGCTGAGGGTTACAGCGGTGTGCTGAAAGGTTGAGCCAGCTGCAGGTCAGACATCTGGATGAGATCCCTGCAGAGCCTGGACCGGACTCCAGAGCCTGGCCTTGGCTGAATCTGGATCACAGGACTGCTGATCTAAGTGCACCCCTGTGACTCACAGATGTTTGATCACAACAGTGTTAGCTGGAGTTAGAGGACTGAGACAAACAATTTATCACTGAATGTGGTAATTACAATTGTCAACTCTTATTCATTTATGTAAAACCTTTATCTTAACCACTTGCCTACAGGGCACTTATACCCCCTTCCTGCCCAGGCCGATTTCCAGCTCTCAGCGCTGTCACACTTTGAATGACAATTGTGCGGTCATGAAACACTGTACCCATATGAAATTTTTATAATTTTTTTGTGACAGATAGAGCTTTATTTTGGTGGTATTTAATCACCTCTAGATTTTTTATTTTTTTCTTAAACCAAAAACCACTGACAATTTTGAAAAAAAAATGTTTTTTTCTTAGTTTTTGTTATAAAATTTTGTAAATAAGTGATTTTTCTCCTTCACTGATGTGCGCTAAGGAGGCTATAGTGATGGGCACTGATAAGATGCACTGATGGACAATGATAGGTGGCACTGATGGGCACTGATGAGGAGGCACTGGTAGGTGGCACTGATGGGCATTGACAGGCATCACTGATGGGCGCTGAAAGGCAGCACTGATATATGGCACTGATAGGCGGCACTGACTGACACTGTTAGGTGGCACTGACTGGCACTGTTAGGTGGCACTGACTAGCACTGATAGGCAGCACTGACTGGCACTGATAGGCGGCACTGACTGGCACTGATAGGTGGCAATGATTGGCAGCACTGATAGGTGGCACTGATTGGCATTGATAGGTGGCACTGATGGGTGACACTGAAGGGCAGCTCAGATGGGCACTGATATGTGGCATTGATGTCCACTGGTAGGCACTGATATGTGGCATTGATGTGGCACTGATGGACACTGGCACGTGGCACTGTTCAGCACTGACAGCTGGCACTGATGGACACTGACAGGTGGCACTTCTGGGGCCACACTGATTATCAGGACACACTGATCATCAGTGCCCTGATGATCAGTGTACATGTCCCCTCCGCGGAAAGCCGATTACCGGCTCTCCTCTCCTCTTGAGCTGTCAGCGTGACAGCTCGAGAGGAGAGAAATGCCGATCACCGGCATTTCCGTGTTTACATGTGATTGGACACAGCTGATCACATGACCAAGCCGACATCTTCGGCTCTTTCCGTGGATCGGTGATCTGCTGTGTCCAGGGGACACAGAGCACCGCTCTGAGCAGCTCCCTGAGCCGCGCATGCGCGGTGAGAATGGAAGGACGTCAAAAGACGGCCTATCAGAACAAGAGAACCACCTTGCGCCCGTCATTGGACTATATGGCAGGCGGGAGGTGGTTAAAAGGTAAAAAATGTTTGTTATGACTGCTTATAAAGCTGGAGTTGAGCTTGTCAAGTCCATCTAAATCTGCTAGTCTAACACTGCCCACCCCCAGACTGACAATACTGCTGTCCAAAGGTGTCTGCTTTACTATTTCTTTTTGGCTATAGCCGCTAGCACTAATCATTGTGTTCTGCCAGCCGGGATGTCTCCCTGCCAGTAAAACACAGTAGTGTTGTGTGAGGAATGGAAAGAAAGAAAATGTTATCATCGATGGCCTGTTTAAGGCTTGTACTGAGTTTAAGGTTAGTTAGTCTGCACAATTGTGCAACAGCTTCAGTGTTCATAGTTAGATTTATCACACCAAATCATCCCCAAACACCAGACATTTGAAAGGACATGTTAAAAAAAATGTCTTTATTTTGTTGTACTTATGGTCCTAGACAGTGTCCAGCGAACAAGAGCTCATGTGAGCAAGGAGAGGTCATCTTGTGTTGGTTCCTTTATGTAAAATTAAAAAGAAATCTCTAGTGAGAACAATCCCCACTGAAAAGTGTAAGGAGACATTAGGGATAGACTTGTGAAGGACAATCACTTGTTCTTCAGCACAGTGGCTAAGTGGTTACTTTGAATCCTAACCACAGCACTACCTGCATGAAGTTTTCATGTAATCCCTGTGCCTGCGTGGGTTTCCTCCGGGTACTCCGGTTTCCTCTCAGACACCAAAGACATGCTGGAAGGTTAATTGGCTCCTGTTTAAATTGGTCTTAGTACGTGTATATATGAATGTGAGTTGGGGACCTCAGATTGTAATTGCAGGGACTGATGTTAATGTACAATATATACATCCCAACTGTCTAGATGCAGATGCTCCGTTTCAGAAGAGATGAGACTATGACAATTAGTTTGGCTTCATCCAGATTTTGTTCCTGGGCACCTTGTTCAAAGCCATGAAACAAAGGGGTTGATTTACTAAAACCGGAAAGTGCAAAATCTGGTGCAACTCTATATATAAACCAATCAGCTTCCAGGTTTTGTTGTCAAAGCTTAAAGCGGAGCTCTACCCAAAAGGGGACGTTCCGCTTTAAGCACTGCTCCCCCGCTCCCCATTAAGGAGTGGCACCTTTGGGGGGCGGGGGGGAGCAGGTACCCAAATTTGACAGGTACCCGCTCCCACTTCCGGTCTGATTGCCTAGGCAGGTCCCAGAAGACTACAGGACGCATGCGCAGTGGGTACCCGGCTGTGAAGCCGCAAGCATTCACAGCTGGGTGCCCACACTGAAGATGCTGGCCTCCTGGAAGACAGGACGGTTGGTGAAACGGAGTGCGGGGGACACACCACGGGACCGAGGGACAGGTAAGTGGCTGTTTTTTAAAAGTCAGCAGCTACAATTCTTGTAGCTGCTGACTTTTAATTTTTACAGGGTGAGTGGAACTCCGCTTTAAAGTGATTCTAAAGGTTTTTTTTTCACAGAAACAAATAACAAACATGTCTATACTTACCTGCTGTGTTCAGTGGTTTTGCACAGAGCAGCCTGGATCCTCCTCTTCTTAGGTCCCCCTCAGGCTGTCCTGGACCCTCCCTCCTGTCCAGTGCCCCCACAGCAAGCAGCTTGCTATGGGGGCACCCACTGCTCCATGTGTCCATTCACACAGGGAGCCACAGCTCGGCACTGCCCCCCCTTTCTTCTCCTTGGCTTACTGGCTGTGATTGACAGCAGTAGAAGCCAATGGCTCCTGCTTCTGTGTCAGCCAATGAGAAGAGGGAGTCCAGAGATAGCCGAGACTCCAGTACGCATCGCTGGATCGAGAGGAGGCTTAGGTGAGTAGTAGGGGTGGCTGGGGGGGGGGGATGCTGCACACAGAAATTTTTTTTACCTTCATGCTTAGAATGCATAAAGGTAAAAAAGTAACCTTGTGCCATTAGAACCACTTTAAATGAGGAAGCTGAAGTTAGAAGCTGATTGGCTACCATGCACAGCTGCACTAGATTTTGCACTCCCCAGTTTTGGTAAATTAACCCCAACAAGTGAGGTAATAATTATCTGCTCATGAAATCTTTGGGTCGTATGTGATCTCTGCTCAAGTCAGCATTGAGGGACCTGATTACAACAATGATCTTCTTCTAAGCCCAGTACCTTACTATTTTTTGACCTTTGGCTTCTGCTGATGGTGATTTTAATTAACTTTTCAATTTTAGTGGCAGTCGAATTTACCTATACCTTAAGATTCGTGACATTGAGTTGGTAATTCTGTAAAGTAAACTCAAATTTCACAGCCTGAACTTCGCGTGACCTTGAAGTTTGCAGAGTAAACTCAATATCTCTGTAACATCTAGAACAGATGTGCAAACAGGTGCAATGTATGTGGTGTAACAAAGAGAATCTCTTATATGAACATATGCTATTTTTTATAACATTTCACTAGTGTCAGTCTGTAATGTACGTCTCTGTGTTTGTCACATTCTGTGGGAGCAACACAGGTGCAACATTATACAATGTATTGAAACAGATCATTTTATTAACCTATGTGGACTTTATAATGTGTCTCAAATTTCTTTTGTCAACATTTTTGGTCCTTGTCACCATACAAGAATAGCCACAAACAATACAGTCCAAAAAGTGTTAAACAAATTTTGTCATGAGAGAAATATCCTGGATGACCTCCTGAAAATGTTGCTGCAGTTTTTTTTGCCACCTGTGTCCCATTGTGGATATTTATCTTTACTACCTTTTCCCATAGCCAGAACACAACTAGTGTCCACATTGCCAACAACCAACCAAGTTCTTTCCAGTCCTATATGGAGACTGGGCTCACCCAGAGAATATTTTTACCCTCCAAAACGCTTTTCTCAACATTATCCCCTTGAGAAAAATTTCTGTGTAGTAGTTGCTTCCTGCTTGTTGTCATTTCTTATCTTAATGTGGCTTTCAGTCAGAAATTAGATCCTGCTAGATCATTTCAGGCTGGCCCCTTTTGCAGGTTTAGCTATATAAAGCATTAAAAATATAGTAATTGTCCATACTGTTTAAAATCCAGTAATACATGGTCTCACCCTGCTCTGCACATGCCCAGTTGCTCTCCATTTTTAGGCTCTTCCGAATTTGTAGTGGCCAATCTGCTTACAGTCTTAAAGCAGAATTAAACTGTCAGGAATGGACTCACCATTAGTGGTGGGACTCATCTGCCGTGTGGGCTGCAGTACCAGGGCTGGCCAGTGGGTGCTCTCAGCAACCAGAAGCTCACTCCTGCAATCAGCCATCACCTGAGGCTGATTGCAGGAGGTGTGTTTAAGGAATGGCCAGACCTGCAGTCAGGGCCTTGGTGTATGTTTCCCATGAGCCCCTGTACCTGCATCCTGTCTGCTTCCTGCCTGATCCTGCTTTGATCCTTACTCTGAACGAACTCCGCCTGTCCTGACCTCGGCTATTCCTGACCACTCTTCCGCTCACTCCTGGTACCCTGTTTGCCCGTTAGCTACCGACCCGGCCCACCTGACTACGTTGTGCTCCATATATATATACATATATATATATATATATATATATATATCAGTTTAGGTTTGGGTTTGTTTCACCTTGTTGTATGTATTTGTGTTAGCTTTGGGTTTGGTTTGTTGCACTGCGTTTATGTTTGTGTTGTCCTTAATAAATTATCTTGTTTACACGCTATACCTGAAGTCAGGTTTCCCTGTGTCGGTCCACACACCTCTGGTCATTTCCGGAGCCCTGACATAAACTCTCCTGTCCTTTACAGTCAAGGAAGCTGCTTCTGTTTGATCTGTAACTGTCATGGTGCTGCACATGTTGTGATCAGTTATGACATCAGCCATTTGATGGTTTGACAGTTTGGTTGAGGACACAAGCAAATGTGACAGTTAGCATTCCCGGCATTCCAGGAATGTTACTGGTTTTTAAAACAGTTAAATCCATGGGTTCAGTTCCATTTTATGATTTACTGCTGTTCAGGGTCTCTTGGCCTCAGCAAAATAGCAGCTTGCAGAAACAGGACAAATGCTGGAGGCAATTTACAGCACACACTAATTTGGGAAGCATTATTATTATTGTCTAAGATATGTTCCTTGCTAGAGAACTATATTTTTTTATCAAGTTGTTATGGATAAAGTTCCACTTTAATAAGCCTCCATGGAAGATAATCCCATGGTCAAAAACCCAGTATATAAGAGGTTAGAGGCACTCTTTAAAGCATGCCTACGGTTGCTTCTTTGGCAGTCTGCATGGCCTGAAATCCTAGTAAATCCATCCTAACTGACGTCTCTGTCCACAGTCAGTTTGACCTATTACCTATAGCCTTATGCTACTGCATGACTGGCTTGGCCAATAAGCTTCATCATATCTCCAGAATAAATGAGTCTTCTGTCCATCCACATGCACAGGATTCTTGGGCTTACATGTTGGTCAGCTGAGCTTCCATGTAAAATACGCCTGGATCACTTACCCTTACCCATCTGGTGCCTCCTTGCATAAGTACATCCAGGAGATTACAGGCGATAACATTCTCAGAGTGATTTGGCTGTCTCGTCAACCCTGGACTCCTCTGTTGTGTGGACACCTAAAGAGAATCTAGTCAAGCCACACCCTTCCATTCTATTTGTTCTCCCTTTGGGACTTTAATGCAAAAAAGTAGGGATGTAGCAGCACTCCATTCTATATTGCAGATGCCCTTTTGTTAATTTAGGCAATGCCACACCCATGGCCTATATCAACCATCAAGGAGGCACTAGAAGTTGTGCCGCTTTAAAGGAGGCAGACTTGTTTCTATCTTCTACAGAAAATCTTCCAAAGTAGGTGTGTTGTCCCTTTAAATACTACACCATATAAAGTGCTTAAAGTGTTCTAAAAGTGATCCAATCTAGCATAAAAAAAATATAACA